GATATTAATACAGTTATTGGGTATCAGTTGAGGATTTTACAATGATTTCTGAAAGATCAACAAATTAACTGGACTCCAGAATTTTCTTTTCTTTTTTTCGGATTAGAGTAGAAAAATTGATAAATTACTTTAAAATTTATTATACACATATCGGTTGTGCTGAATCATTTGATCAGTTAGCAGGCTTTCATAAATTAAAGAAATTATTACACATTTGGGGCGAGGCAGTGGCGCAGTGGGTAGTGCTGTCGCCTCACAGCAAAAAGGTCGCTGGTTCGAACCTCAGCTCAGTTGGCGTTTCTGTGTGGAGTTTGCATGTTCTCCCTGCCTTCGCAAGGGTTTTCTCCGGGTGCTCCGGTTTCCCCCACAGTCAAAAGACATGTGGTACAGGTGAATTGGGTAGGCTAAATTGTCCGTAGTGTATTAGTGTGTGTGTGAATGTTTATGTGGATGTTTCCTAGAGATGGGTTGCGGCTGGAAGGGCATCCGCTGCGTAAAAACTTGCTGGATAAGTTGGCGGTTCATTCCGCTGTGGCGACCTTGGATTAATAAAGGGACTAAGCCGACAAAAAAATAAATGAATGTATTACACATTTGTCTTTAAAATAATGTCATAGTTTTCTGCCAAACGTCTTGCTGCTGTGCACCTGATACTGAGCAAAGTTAGCAATTTCTGTGCAGAACCTGGTTTGCATGATTGTTTCCAAGCAAAGCCTATATAATAATAACAATAATATTATTATTAATAATAAAAATAATAAAAAGCCTATAGTTTGTCGCCAAACTTCTTGCTGCTGTGCACCTGATGCTGAGCAAAGATAACCATTTCCGAGCAGCACCCGGTTTGCATGATCCATCGATATAAAATTATTACTTAATTACCCTAACCTGCCTAGTTAATCTAATTAACCTAGTTAAGCTTTAAAATGTCACTTTAAGCTGTATAGAAGTATCTTGAAAAATATCTAATTAAATATTATTTACTGTCACCATGGCAAAGATAAATGAAATCCATAATCAGAAATGAGTTATAAAAACTATTATGTGTGGAAATATGTTGAGAAAATATTCTCAACAAAATGAATAGGGGAGCTAATAATTGAAGGGACTTTAACTTATATATATATATATATATATATATATATATATATATATATATATATATATATATATATATATATATATATATATATATATATATATATATATAGCAAAAGAAAAACCCAAAAGTCAGTTTTCTTAATTTTCTTTTTTTTTTTTTTTTTTCTAATGAATACGGAATGGACAGAAGATACCCTGACTCTCAAGCAAAATGCCCTTACAGGTTTTTGTTACTTTGTTAATTTGTGTGTAACATGAAAAGACATTTTGGTCACTGACTTAAACTGCTTGGACATTTTTCAAAGTAGAATTGCGTGAAGATGACTGAATGATGAGTTTTTTTAGTCAGTTTGTTTATTTAATGAGTGAACTATGCCTTAAGACTGCAGTTATAGAATTCCCTGATTCTATTTTTATTTAAATATTACTATTTAACTACTTATTATTTTCATTTCAGTTTTAGGTATCTTGGTTCTTAAGTCACATAAAATATAGATATTCCACATTTTATTCTTAACGATTTTAAATAAGTATTAAATATTGGATTTATAAAAATGATTAGCTTTATTTTAATTAACAAATTTGTTGTAGTGTAGTTTTACAACTCTGGCTTCAATTAAATAGGGCACTATGAAAAGAAAGTAATTCAGATAGACAGAGCATTAAGCACCTAATGACCAAAAAAAAGTAAAGTTTTATACTAGTAGGTTGTTTTGACTTCCTATCCTATTTCGTGTAACCTGGATGGAGAAGGTCAAATGATTAAAGAACATCAGATTTTTCAAAAAGATTTCGGCTGATGAGCTGCCGTTTGAATTAAGATTCATAAGCGCACAACAGATTGGCGGTGACAATTTAAGTCTCTGATTGGTGTATTTTGGAGGATGTGAGTGCAGTGGAGAGTATGGAAGTGTAAACAGTCCTGATGGTGGAAGTTCAGTGTTCGGCTCTGATCAGCAGAGCAGTAAAGCTGAACCAGAGCCCTCAGAGAGTGAGTACAGACTTCCGTTTTACCAAAGGTCACAGTTTCTGGCATAAAGCTATTACAATTGGGGACACTAGAGGGGCAAGGAGAAATAATGGCAAGCATAGGTCTCTATGGTCTGGTGGGATAACAGAGTTCATGGTTTCTACATTAATTGTCTAAACATAATTGAGGTAAATTTTGGGCCAGTTGACCCAGTTATTTCTTCTTCTTTTTTTTCAGGCCACTGCTGCACTACAAATTCTACATGAATCATCTTGTATATCTATTATGTCTGGCAAACATAAACAGCTGTTTTCCGTGATGCATTCTACAATGTTGTTGCAAATACTGCTGATTTATCAATTAAACTATGTTAAATATAATATTTTTACAAATATGAATATGTTTGCAATGCTATGTTTAACACAAATTCAACTTGCAGTAAAAATGTTACAATAATAAAAAGTTTGGTCACACTTAATTTTATTGTAAAAGACATGCTATTAACAAAACATTAACTAAGAATTTCAGCTCAATAAACTATTAATTGCTAAGCTGATTATTAACGGTTAGTAAGGAAGTTTAGGTATTAGGTAGGTAGATATTAGGTAGTGCACCCAAACTGTGGAATGCTCTTCCCACTAACATTAGGAATGCTGGTTCATTGAACAGTTTTATGAAGCTACTTAATAATCATCTTTTTAGGACTGTTTTTAATTTGCGATATCTCTTTTATTCTTACTGTGTTTTTTGTATCTTTTTTATTGTTTTACTGTTGTTTTATTGCTTTGTTGTTTTTACTTTCTTGTAAGCGTGTAATAAATAAAACGTATTATTATTATTATTATTATTATTATTATTATTATTATTATTATTATTAGTGTGAATTGTCCCTTAAATATAAGTGTTAATAAAAGTTAGTTTGAACAATAAATTAAATAAATAAAAATTCAATAAAAAAATGCAGCACAACTGTTTTTAGCACAGATAATAATGCAATTATTCTTCTTAATTAATAATTTAAGAATAATTTCTGAAGGATCAACAAATAAACTGGACTCCAGCAATGCTAGCTTTGTCATCACAGGAATAAACTTTATTTAAAGAAACGTTACAAAAGTGAAACAGTAATTTAAACTTACTTTACTGTACTTTTATCTACAAACATCCACGTTGAGCTAAAAGTTTTTTATTAGATTTAAAAACATTATAAAATTCTCATCGACCCCAAAACTTTGTGGGGTAATATAGAATTAACAATTTATCGTGCTTTTATGAAAACAAATGCATTTTAGCAAAGGATGTTAAAAAGAAATTTCAAGAAAGAAATAGCTAACTTCTAATCGCAATTAATCATTCGTGTGTGGTAGAACTAGTGAAATTGTGAACTGTCCACAATAAAAAATAAATAAAAAATCATCAGCCCTGGTATTAGGCTGCACGATGTTGGACAAATCTGACATTGCGATATTTTGTTTTGCTGTGATAAATTACAATATGAATGTAAAGTCACCAGATGATTTAAATAGCTCTATTTGGAAAGATTTCTTTAATTCAGATCGACTAGGCTAATCAAGTCTTTTTCTATGCAGTGCATCAACATAAAATATAATCTATTACAAGCATTAATAAATAATGCAGTGATAATAATGCAATTGTTTAATATCAGTTGAGAATTTCATAATGACTTCTGAAGGATCAACAAATAAACTGGACTCCAGCAATGCCAGCTTTGTCAGGAATAAACTATATTTAAAGAAACTTTACAATGTGAAACAGTTATTCTAACTTGCTTTACTGTATTTTTTTATCTACAAACAGTCATGTTGAGCTAAAAGTTTTTTTATTGGATTTAAAAACATTATAAAATTCTTTTCGACCCCCAAACTTTGTGGGGTAATATAGAATTAACAATTCATGGTGCTTTTATGAAAACAAATGCATTTTAGCAAAGGATGTTAAAAAGAAATTTTAAGAAAAAATAGCTAACTTCTAATAGCAATCAATCATTTGTTTGTGGTAGAACCAGTGAAAATGTGAACTGTTCACAATTAAAAAAAAAAAAATCATTAGCCCTGGTATTAGCCTGCACGATATTGGAAAAATCTGACATTGCGATATTTTGTTTTGCTACGATATATAATTCAACAAGAATTTAATGTCACCAAATGATTTGAATAGCTCTATTTCGCAAGATTTCTTTAATATAGATTGACTAAGCTGATCAAGTCATTTTTTTATGCAGTGCATCGGCATAAAATATAATTGAATACAAGCTTTTATAAATACAACTGGAGCAAAAACAAAAGTTGTTTTATGATTTAACGAGATATCTAACAGTATTCAAATATAGAAATTGAACAATCAAATGTAAAATAAAAAGGTCATCATTCAATAAATAATTTTATACAATAATATATAATAATATTTAACAATATATTTGAAGAGTTCAGATGTAAAAACCTCAGTCTGAAAAGTCTAAAAATTTCCATTGAAAATTAAAAATTTTCTCAGCCTCCTTTGTTTAGGTTAAGATATTTCACTTTAAAGACCAGGAAAAGGACTAATTCTTTGCCATTAAAGTGGTATTACTAAACATACACACATAATTGTGTGTATTCACACAAATTTCAGATGGCATTTAGAGGTCATTGCATCTAAACTCTTCATTTATTTTTTAATCTTTATTATAATCTAATCCTGCGATGTAACTATTGCGGATACACGCACTATGATATCGATGCTCAAACTATATATTGTTTATCCCTACCTGGTATTATACAAAAAAACATATTTTTTTTTAATCCACTCTAAACAAACAGTTATGTTGAAATAATAATACCAATATATAATATATTTTATACATTAGTCTTCCATAAATTTGTATCCATTAAAATGCAGGAATAAAAATTCACATAATATCCAAATGTACCTTGATGGCTCAGCTTCTGTTATGTCTCCTTTGAAAGAAGCGTTCAGTCTTGTTTCTCTAGAAGCGAGATCATCAACAAGGCTCTGTCTTCTGTCTGCTTCAGCTTGCATTCTGGAATTTTTCATTAAGGCTTTAAATTGACACATTTATGACTGCGTTATTATGCTCATCTCACAGACTGCTATGCTAAATCATCATAAAAACACCAACTTATGAATAGAACATTCACTTTTAATTACTACAATTGCAAATCCACCATCACCGAAGGACTACTTCACCCGTTCTTAAACTGGTTTGTTGTTAAACATTGCCCTCTATAGGTGCTCATGAGAAATCACCGTTTTGTCTTATTAAAGGGATAGTTCACCCAAAAATGCTAATTCTGTCAAAATGTATTCAGCCTTTTATGATTTTCTTTCTTGTGTTAAACACAACAGAAGCTATTTTAAAGATGTAACCAATGACCTCCTCAGTATTTGTTTTGTTTTTTTTTCTAACATAGTAGTCGATGGTAACAAGTTTTCAGCTTTTCTTAAAATATTTTCTAAGAACCTTATAATGGGTTGGAACCACTTAAGGGTGAGTACTTGAATTATTTGTCTGAGAACAACCTCTTTAACTGCCTAAAGTGGAGATTCTGTTTTTGTTCACGCACAGTTCATGTAACCAATAGGTTAATACCTACTCTGTAGAATAAAAATGTAAAAATTTTAGATGCTATGGGATTTTAGTATGCCACTGTGAACTTCTAAAATAATAACAAAACAGAGATTGAAAAACTTTCTGATTGGATCATGAAGCTGAATTTAAACACCTGTCTCATTAACCATTTAGTTTATTGGAAACAGCTTCACTAATTGTACTGATACGGTTGTTCAATTCACTGATGAGCAAATAATAAACTCTGTGCCTCTACTACTGAACATAACTTAACCAAGAATGCCACATATATGACTTAAACAGGATTTTTATCATAGTTTTAAGTAATGGGCAAACATATGTGAGCTAGGGGCAAGTTTTGGGCACTTGCAGTTTATTTATACATCACCTGCCTCAGTATTTTAATCACTATCAAGCATGGTTTAATATATTTAGACAGTTATGATAAAAGACCAGATTATACACATCATCAATAATAGATCATTTGTCCAAGCTAGCAGACGTGCCTAAATATGAACACACTTTATTTTAAAGCATTAGATGTTGTCCTTTCTTTCTTTTTACTCTCATTTTTATTATCATACATTAATGCGCATTGTTGTTACTCCCTACCTCTGACTGGTTTCTTTCTAGATGTTTTATCTATATCTGTGACACTTGCTTCATTTATTGACTGTTATTGTTCCTTATGTATGTACTCTGACCTGTCCACCAAGTTACCTTTACATGCATACACACACTCACGCACATGCCAGTACATAACTATATTGTTGTTGTTTTTGTTTTGTTTTTGTTTCGTTGCTTTGTATTTGTTATTTGTTGACGTTTTCTTGTATTTGTATGATTTTTGCATATTCTAATAAAAAAATTAAAAATTAAAAAAAAATTTAAAAAATAAAGCATTAGAGCATTTTCTGATTTCTGGAAGAGTCCTGTTTCTTATTTATCACAGCATTACATAAACAGGAAAATAATTAGAATTTATACCTAAAAGTACTACTGGAACTCACCTTAACCTATGTAGATAACTTATATGACCCAGGATTTTCCTTGGCAAGTACACTGAAAGTACAAGATGATTACTGTAAAATAAAGTGCAACCTATGCAATATTGTGTTCATGTTCTGGACATGTAGTTCACATCACCATTGAGGTGTTTACTGGGTTTACTTGTCTTTTGATATTACTGGAGATATCAATGGATATCAATGGTACAAGACATGTCTTGCCTTTTAGGGGGTCATTCCTATAATGTTGTTATATCACACTAAACTAAAAATAGGACTTCTTTTATTGTCTAGATATGAAATTCATTTTGAAAATGATAATAATAATTTATTCAAATGTCTGATTTTATGTTTTTTCAGGAGAAAAAAACAGCATATAGGATTCAAACTAATTTAGAAAATCTTAGTTCTCAATGATACTGCAAAACAAACAATCATAAAGAAGTCATTATAATCCTAATTTCTGGATTCAACTTTCTTGGTTTTGTGAAGCAACCACACAGAACTACAGGACAACCCCAAAACATAGTCAATTCTGAGTGTGATTCATACAAGTGAATGGGCTTGACAAACCACCTGTAGAAAACACAGTCTTTCATCTCTCTGACACCTAACCCTAACCGACACTTCAATCAGTTTGCACATTTGCACCAGGCACGTTCTTACAATCACTTCATATCTTTAAAAAAACTATGCATTCATGAAGTGTGCCTCACACAGGTAAGTGGGCTTAACAAACCACCTGTAGAAAACATGCTCTTTCATCTCTCTGACACTTCAAACAACACTTGCATCAGTTTGCACATTTGCACCAGGCACATTCTTACTATTACTTCATATCTTTAAAAAAAAACTATGCATTCATAAAGTTTGCCTCACATAGGTAAGTGGGCCTAACAAACCACATGTAGAAAACACACTCCTTCATCTCTCTGACACTTTAAACAACACTTGCATCAGTTTGCACATTTGCACCTGGCACATTCTTTCAATCAATCCATATCTTAAAAAAAACACTATACATTCATGAAGTGTGCCTCACACAGGTGAGTGGGCTTGACAAACCACCAGTAGAAAACACACTCCTTCATCTCTCTGACACTTTAAACAACACTTGCATCAGTTTACACATTTGCTCAAGGCACATTTTTACAATCACTTCATATCTTTAAAAAAAAAAACTATGCATTCATGAAGTTTGCCTCACACAGGTGAGTGGGCTTAACAAACCACATGTAGAAAACATGCTCTTTCATCTCTCTGACACTTTAAACAACACTTGCATCAGTTTTTGCACATTTGCACAAAGCACATTCTTATAATCACTCCAAAAAACACTATACATGTAGTTCCTGTAAAAACACCTTTCACTCTCTCTCAAAAAAAGAAAAATAAACTCCCTCCTCCTAATGCTGGCACTTAATTCTCTGGCCACAAACAGTCCCTTTGTATTACTGGCACTCCTTGACTGTATTGCCTCTTCAATCGCTGAATGATTCCTCAATTGTAAGGCGCTTTGGCCTCTGTGAAATGAAAGTGCAGTCAAGTAAATGAAAGGATACATATGGCGTTGAACAGCTGCTCGATTCAGAGTCTCTCTGAGTTGTGCTATATTCTGTTTTAGCTTCTGTAATGATGCTCTCAGGGTCATGTTGATCTACATGGATGGAAAAGCAACAAGAGAGATTATTATATTGTGTAAAAGATTGGTTAACTATCTCATGTAAACCAGGGGTCTCAAACTGCCTGGCTGTGGGCCATTTGTGGCCACCCTCCTCCTTTTTCTTTCAGCCCGAAATTGACATGAAAAATATAATGAGATTCGGCCCAACAAAAAATATATTTTTTTAGAGTCACTATCTTTGTGCAGTTGCATATAGCCTCTTATGTTTTTGACCCCCACCTACAGGACATTTAAAGTACTGTACAATATATGCAGGTTACTTTCTGTTTCTCTCAGTGTGCAGTTGAGAGTAATGCACATGCAGATTATTTCTGGGGCTAATGTAAAAGTTGAAACATATGTCTGTACGTGCTCTATTTTTACAAACACCTCTTCAAGGCTTACACGTTATGTTAGTAGTGTAAATATGATTATTTTGCTAATATTCAATTCAAAAATGTATCCTTAATATATTTTTCTAATATGCATATTAAGAATTGTATAAAAAATGTGCATTAGTAAAATTTTACTGCTGGCTAAATTGCACATGTTAAAGTAAACGTGAATACATACATAAAAACGTTTCCTCTCTTGTAGTTTTAAAAAAAAAGAAGGACATTGAGAAGAACAATTGCCAGTACAATCAACAAAGTTATTCAAACTCTTTTCTGATGTTTTACGCTATCGGTTAAACATCTGGTTAAGCAACAATTGATTGGGACATAATTATGATTATTATGCTTATATAATGTGGTATTTTCATAACAATTTAAACAACCCCTTCAACATATACAACGAGAAACTAAAAGGAGTTTTGATAAACTGGGGAAGAATGTATGAGTGTAAGAATGTATCAATTACATCAGATTTCCACTTTTTTCTTGTGCTTCATATGAATCGTCAGTCACTAATATGGCCCCCCGCCATTGAGTTTGAGACCCCTGATGTAAACAATCAAATCCTGCCTTGCCTTGGCTGGGTTTCCTCCAGTCCTCTGCTGTCTGTTTCTTTCATGGATGTTTTCTGCAATTTCTTGAGCCAGCCTACAAGCTGCATCATAATTTTCTAACCTGTAAACAAAACACAGATTACACTTATCAAAATCTTCCAATGGGGATCATGAGATAAGGGTTTCCAGTTATTTAAATCACAAGGTTGTCATCAACACAATCATGTGACAATCAAATGTCAGCTAACCGGCTTGGCAACCTTTACAAGACGCGTAAAAACAGCAATATGTGAACGAAAACATAATTGATCAATTAAAGTGTAGGGTAAAATGAGCCCTGGGGAGTAGAAAAAAAAATAGATAAATTAGTCTAGCGTTAAAGTTAAACTGATCTGACTGTCAGTTACAGATGCACTAAATTAATAGTGTTGAAGTCTGAAGTCTAACGTACTGTCCTGCCATGCAGATCTAACATGACAGTAAATAATAATAGTATAGGCGCTCACCAAAGGTCTTTTGACATGTTGCGGTACTTTTGTTTCGAGTTTGCAAAAAGCGTTTTAGCAGAAACTCACAGCAAAATCACATCAACATAAACTGCGCAGTGCCACTTCCTGTTAAGGAACGACGTCATACGGTGGCCTTTCATAGACACACTTCATACGGTAACCGATGTCTCGTTGTGTTTATCCTGCGATGTCTCTTTTTATCAGTGACAAAATTGCTGATAATGTAAATAAAGTCTTATTGAACTTCATATGGAAGAATAAAACCCATAAAATTAGAAAATCAGTCTCATCTAATAGGCGCTCAGAGGGTGGATTAGAGGTTTTAAATTTCAAAGATTTAATTAGGCCTAGCTCATTTAGAATTAATTGGCTACAAAGATGTCTCCGTAGTAATAATTCAATTTGGTACCATATCCCCAATGTTATATTTGATAAATTAGGTGGCTTAGACTTTCTTTTAAAATGTAATTTATTCCCTTCTAAATTGCCAATTTCCCTCTGTAATTTTCACAAACAAGCTTTACTTGCTTGGAAATTGTGTTACGTGGACAATTTTTCCCCACACAAAGAAATTCTTTGGAATAACTCTAATGTCTTAACTCGTGGGAAATCTCTTTTTATTGATAAGTGGTTTGAAAGAGGAATTGTTTTTGTTTTGGACTTATTTTAAAATGATGGCAATATTTTGGAATATGAATAATTTATGACATTGTATAACTTCTCTTTGCCAGCTTAATCCTTCAACTGTGTTCTAAAGAGTTTGTCACAAAGTTATGTGCATTTATTTAAGACTTTTCTTTACTTTAATGAGAGGGAAACAATTATGCCTGAACTTTTTTTGGATGGAGTGTCTTTTTTTGATAAAAAATGTGACAACAGACATGTCAGACGATTGTTACATTACTCTGTATATACCACCCCAAGATGTAAATTTTATGGTTATTACCTGACAAATTCAGCATATCCAACAAAATAGGAGAGATACATTTTAAGATCTTGCATAATGTTTATCCTACAAATTCCCAAATTGCAAATTATTTTGATATATCTAATTTGTGTACTTTCTGCAATATACATGAAGAGACTTTATTTCACTTATTCTATAGTTGCATTCACATTAAACATCTTTGGAATTACATTATTTTTTATTTATCATCCATTTTTAAACATGATTTAAATTTGTCTATAAAAGATATATTTCTATATTTCTTGGATGATGATCATGCTCTCGATCTTATTGTAATTTTTTTTTTTTGTGTTACTCTGTAAATTTTTTATACACAAAAATAAGTTTCTAAAAACAATACCTATTTTTAATACTTTCCTTGTTGAAATTTCGTACAATATTGAATCTCTTAAGCTTATTAATTATAATAATAAGAAGAAGTTTCTTAAAGCTTATGACAATCTTTTTTTGAGGCTGTGTATTTTTTTCTCTCTGTCTTCTTTCTTATTTTATTATTGTATTTTTTCTTCAATGCAGTGATGTTATTATTCTTGTATTCAATAAAAAATAAAAATAAAAATAAAAACTTCATACGGTAACCGGATAAGAGCTGAACAAGTCCTTTAGCAGTTATAGGGATTTTAAAATAATTGAGAAATTCACAATAATTAAAAAGTTGTCCATTATTTTTTAATAACTGTCTCACCAATATAATATCAATATTGTAACAATTTCTTTGGTACAATAATGATAATGTACTCCAATCTGTTTGGTTTTCTACTGATTTGTTTCTTTGATGTGAAAAATGTAAGCATTGTATTCTTCATTTTTGTATGCTATTGTTCTTGTTATGAAAAAAGTATATATATATATATATATATATATATATATATATATATGTATGTATATGCAGTGGCACAGTAGGTAGAGCTGTCGCCTCACAGCAAGGTCGCTAGGTCGCTGGTTCGAACCTCGGCTCAGTTGGTGTTTCTGTGTGGAGTTTGCATGTTCTCCCTGTCTTCGCGTGGGTTTTCTCCGGATACTCCGGTTTCCCCCAAAGTCCAAAGACATGCGTTACAGGTGAATTGGGTAGGCTAAATTGTGTATGAGTGTGTGTGGATGTTTCCCAGAGATGGACGGCTGGATGGGCATCCGCTGCGTAAAAACTTGCTGGATAAGTTGGCGGTTCATTCCGCTGTGACGACCCGGATTAATAAAGGCTGACAAGAACATGTATGAATGAATATATATATATATATATATATATATATATATAATGGGACGAGCTGACATGTTGTTATGTAAAAACTAAGATAGATGATGATTTGTATCTGTATTTTTATTATCATTTTATGTTAATTTAACATAGCTAGGGCCACACGGAATCTGCGCATGCAAAAATCTGCCAATTTGAACAAATTTTTAGTCCATTATTGAGTCTACTTATTTACTTTAAATGTGTAAATTTATGTTTAATAATTTTTTGGTTTATTTACAAATTGGTTTATTTACAATATATTGTAAAGTGATATTTTCTGTCTTTAGTAGATATATCATAGGAGAGACTTACTTTGTTTACTAAATAAGTGGATCTAATTAAATATGCATTGTAAACATTAAAAGTTAAAAAGGTATTGTTTTTATATCATATATTAAGCTTGTAGTTACGATACTTCCAAATCTGTTGATTTTTTACAAAATTCTGCGCAGAAACAGCAAAAACTGTCAGCAGATTCTGTTTGGCTTACGTATAGCCTACCTCTAGAACTGAACTGCTGAATGCAGCTGAATATGTTGGTACATGTTGGTTGGTTGTTTTTCTATTGTTGTGGAAGTAGTCATTTTAATGAGAGTCTACTTTCACTAAAAAGTATATATATAAAGATGCTTGTGCTGCTGAATATGAGACTTGGAGATGAATGAACAGTAGACAATGTAGTTAGCTCAAGCCTATTGTGTTTATTTGTTTGATTGTTTTGATGTGTTTGCACTAATTTTGTAAACTAGGTTTTTAAGTCTGTTTGATCCCACACACTGCCATTTTACCCAATAGTTTTTACACAATCTATAGGTTGCCAAAATACAGCTTACTGAAGTCATGGAAGACAATAAACTGGTCTATTAATTTTATAATTTTTTTCCAAACATATAGTTGTTGACTAGTAGAAAATGTGAAAAGCAAATTCACCTACACAAATCACAATTGATGGTTGTGTGTGATGTGTTGTAAAGCAATGAAATTTAGTATAGGAAATGGTATTTTTTGCATTTTATTTTTATTTTTTTTTATTTTTGTAAAATAATTTATATTTCACTTTTTACACTAATAGTTGTACACTCAAAAAATGATGCTTGATGTTTTTTCAAAAAACATATTTAAAATGAGCTGAAACAACACTACTATTGGGGTTTTCGAGGGGGGGGGGGTTAATAAATTGTAATTGTAATTATTGTAAATTGATTTTACAATCCACTTACAATTGTAAAAACTAATAAGTTCTAATAACTTAACTAAATAAATTCTTTCATTTTGTCTCAACAATCGATTGTGTGTAACCCAGCATTTTTTACTGTGTATGTTGCAAGCTCCTTTAACATCCTCCATTTATTCATTCATTTTCTTTTCTAATTCCCTTTATTAATCAGGGGTCGCCACAGTGAAATAAACCGCCAACTTATCCAACATATGTTTTACGCAGCGGATGCCCTTCTAGCTGCAACCCAACACCGGGACACACCCATACACCAATTTAGCTTATTCAATTCACCTCTGTCTTTGGACTGTGGGAGAAACTGGAGCACCCGGAGGAAACCAACACGAACAAGGGGAGAACATGCAAACTCCACACAGAAACAGCAACTGACCCAGCAGGAGCCCAAGGCCGCAATCTTCTTGCTGTGAGGCGATTATGCTACCCACTGAGCTACCGTGCTGCCCACTATGATAATAATTAACCTAATTGCGCTGTTTTTAAGCTTTGACAACAGGACCAAACCTTTGCATGCTGGTTATAAATTTAACACATACAGTAGTTGGTTAATTTATGTTAGGTCATTTCACATGTTATACATATTAACTTATTTGTCTAATTCATTGATTAACTTAAATATAAATACATTTATTTATTTGTAAATACATTTAAATAAATAAATAAATACATTTATTACTACTTGTAATGACTGGAAAATTCAACCAGTTAAAATGTTGTGACTGAACGACGACTCATAACCTGACTGCTGTCCATAACCAACTGTAATAAAATCATATTATCAAATTATAAAATAAACAATAGTGATTCATAACAACATCAGCCATTGCAGTGAATTCTTATTAGCAAAACATGTGAACATGTAGGCAAAACAACATGTCAAGCCTTTTATGGTATATAAGTGAAGTGATCTTTATCAACTATTACACATCAAAAAAAGATTGAACCCATTTAAGTGAGTAGTGAGAGCACACACTTTAGCCTGCATTTTAGACATGACAATTTTGTTTTAAACCCAAACTAATGAGTGTTTAAATAAATGACAATATGTTGAAATATGTTTGAATTTCCTGGAAAAAGCACCCGTCAAAAAAATGTATCCAGTATAAACAATTCTGCAACACTCCAAATGGACAGATTTTGTCTTTGTTTTGAGAGTTGTTGAAACACAGTTTTACATAGCTAATTTTACATACGTTTTTTTATTTTTTTTTTTGGATATATATATTATTCTGTCAACATTGATAATACATTGTATGTTTTTTTTTCCAAAAAAAAAAAACAACACATTTTAAATAAACCTTTTACCTTGTTATTTCACATCAGATATCTACAGATACAGATATCTAAAACTATCTACTGTTTATTGTAGTACTTCAGGCACTTGGTCATCAACAAGTCTCTCAGGCCATCACAAAGAAAAAACACATCTGTGAAGATAATTTTTGTTTAAGTCTCTGTAATGTGAACTGGTGGCCTTGATTAATGTTCCTTTTTGGCTCCACAAATATGTTGATAATGTGCAGGGTGACGGTAAAATACAGTGTGTAAAGGAGACAGAGTGTGGCATGCTCTCGATCTCTCATAAGAAAGCCTGACACGGATAGAAGTTAAATAAGGCCTTTCTATGCATGTGACAGAAGATGTAGGACTGGATGATTTTA